GGCTGTGAGTTAAGAGCACTGAGCTCTACCCCTACCCATTGGTTCGCAAGCCACCCTTTCCGTATTTTCCGCTTTTGTAAAGTGGGGAATGATAATTGCCCCTCACTCCTCACTCCTCACTCAAGGCAGGGGTGACAACCTCATGAAAGAAGAGATTCCGAAGTGCTCTGATGGAATACAAAAATACAATATACAGCTGATGTAATATCAAATTGTACACCTGAAATCTATATAGTTTTATTAATTAATGTCACCCCAATAAACTCAATTTTTTAAAAAAGTGCTCCAGAGAACACACCAGGGTATTTAGGAGTGAGGTGTCTACACGGCTGAATTTACCTGAAAGTATTTCAGCCAACAAAAACAGATGGAGCAAATGCGGCAACATTACAATAGTTAACTCTAGGTCTCTGCTAGTCTCTCCACTTTTCTGCGTATTTAAACATTTTAATAATAAACGTCTCATCATTTTTAAACATGCTCTGGCAAGGTAAATGCAAGGGATGGTGTTACTCACAGAGAAGATGCCCTCAGGGAGGTCCAAGTCCTGGGCTCAGGGGCAGGTGGGGCCCACCACCCCAGGAGAGGGAGCAGCCCACTCTTCACCAGCCTTGGACACACAGAGCCCTGTCCAGGAAGTGATTTTGGTTTCCCTGCTTCCTCCCCAGACAGGCCTGGTGCCTGTGGCTAGATGAGGGAAGCCTTCTGCCCCTTCTCAGTGCAAGCCTGACAGACCCAGCCCTGCTGCAGCCATGGGCACTAGGGACCCTGGGGGCTGCCTAGCACAGCCAACCAGTGTGGGGGGCTTATGAATATGCAGATAGAGGCCAGAGCTGGTTGGCTGCCCCCCTGCCATGTCCCACCCCTACTCCAACTCATGACCAGAAAAGCCAGCCAAGTGAGGACCTTCCTGAAATGGCCATCTCTCCAGTCCTTATCCAAAGACCCACAGAGCCCCTTGAACATTTGGGGACTAAATTACCCAGCGTCTTCCATTGTGCTGGCCTCCAGTGGGGAGCTCTTGACTGCTACTTCCAAATTCCCCAGTGAAGCAGCTCCAAAGTGAACATCTTTCACCCTGCATCCTCCTGAGGACACTGAAATCAGCCCAGCATCAAAATATGGCACCTCAGCTCTGCAGGAAGGAGAGGCTGAGTGGCTTGTCCCTGCCGCAGAGGTCCAAACACTGGTGGTGAGGTGTTTGCTGGGCCCGAAGCCCTCATTTCTGGCAGAGCTGGGGAAAACTCACTGGTCAAATCACCAGCACTTGAACATCACTTGCATTCTGCCACCTCCTTCAATTTGGGAGGTGGATTGACTGTTGTAAAATGACAATCAATGAACTACAGCTCAACTGAATATGGGTAAGTCCTCAAAACATAACGTTGAGTGGGAGAGGAAGGTCACAGAATGATACAGGCGCTGTGATTCCACTTATGTTACGTTTAGAAATAGGCCAAACAATGTCTAGAATTTCAATGAATGTTCACCTATCTATTACTTTTAATTACAACTGAATGGCGACAGAGACAGATAGATGGAATCTAAGTACCATTAGTAATAATACAAAGAGTATAGCCTCTATTAAAAGGAGCCCACTCAAGTTAGGCTATAGCCCCATCTACCATCTGATCAATAATATTCAAAAATATATAAGCAAGGGGGTAAGTGACTTCAGACCACACATATCGGGAACTTTCAGGTAAGGGTAAAGAATGCTGTATCATTTAAGGTGAGCTGCCACAGTGTGGTGTTTTTTCATTAACTGAGCCATTTATTCTTCCTAGAAACAAAGTTTTTTCTTAGATAATTTGAAAGTACATAAATCTTTTCCTCAGTTTTAAAAATAGGCAAAACTGAGCAGTTCAGGACACATGCATATTAATGCTACAATGAAAGTGAGGGGATGGTTAATGTTGGATTGGCCAAAAAAGTTAGTTTTTTCCATACGATGGCTCTAGTAGCACTTAGTTGGCTTTAACTTCATTTGAAACAATTTCATTAGAATGTACTGTGATATTGGTCATATCAGTGTGCATTTTAAAAAAATTACCAAAATTGGTGAATTTTGGGGTAGCCATTTTAATATTGAAGATGGAAGAAACAATGTTTTCAGCATATTATGCTTTATTATTTCGAGAAAGATAAAAACAACCGTGTGCAGTATATGGAGAAGGTGCTGTGACTGATTGAATGTTTCAAAAGTAGTTTGTGAAGTTTCTCAGTATTATTGACATTTTGGCCATATGATTCTTTACTTTGGGGCTGTCTTATGCATTGGAAGATGTTTAGCAGCAGCCCTGGCCTCTGCTTCCTAGAAGCCAATAGTGGGAGATAGCCAACATATTCAGAATATCCAAATCAATAAAGTTATTGGTGAAAATGAAAAATGTGTCCTTTATTTTACGGAAAAATACTAAATGGACTTTCTGGCCAACTCAATACATAATTCAGTGTAGCAGCGGTTAACTTTGGAGGATCCACAAGGAGGGCCACACAGGGCTCATTCATTCCATAGCTGGCTGTTGAGTGTGGGCATTCCTTTTATTATTTTTCTTTAAACCATACAAATGTATTTATACATTTTTAAATATATATATATTTTACAATAAAATTTAAAAAAATTCTCCTTTGCACTGTGCCACAACTTACATTCATAAACTCCTGTCCCAATAAACAATGCTGTGCCCTGGGTGGCTCTAAATACAGAAGAGGGTGGAAGTCTATTGGGTTGCACCTTGGACTCCACAGAAGCTCATACGCGAATCTCAGGGAAATCAATTTAACCTTTATCCTTTGAGAGGGACTTTGCATGCTACTGTGCATGTGTGTGGGGGGGGTATCTATGACTGCAACATCTAAAGCTAACCTGGGTGATCACTGAAATTCCAGGATAAATGCTTTGCCACATCATTCAGGCTGAGATAAGAATCTAGAAAATTATTTAAAACTGGAAAAATTAAGTAGCCATCCAAAAAATATTAATAGCAACACCGGCAAGGGATTGCCACTAGTCCTAAATACTGTTGCTGGATTCTTTAGCTGCATCCAGCGCTATTGTAAGCATGGCAGTACTTAGCTATTCCACTTGTATTTACTGAGTACCTACAGCGTACTAGGCACTATGCTCTGTACCGAGGATCCAGGAAAATACAGGCATAGCTTGGAGAAGTTCTGGGTTCGGTTCCAGATCACTGCAATAAAGTGGGTTGTAATCTTTTTGCTGGTGGACGGTCTTGCCTTTAACTTGTAAAAAAAAAAAAAGTAACATCTGTAAACTACAAGAAAATGAAGTGCAATAAAATGAAGTATGCCTGAGAGAATCATCTCTCCTGCTACTCTGCCCAGTAGAGGTAGATAGAGAGGTAAGTGGGGCATTACAAAGCAATGTAGAGATAAAGACAAATGAAGTACAGAAAAGTTATGTTAACTCTATCCAAAGGGATTCAAAAGCACTTTCAGGGTGTCGAACCTTTTGGCATCTCTGGGCCACACTGAAAGAAGAAGAGTTGCCTTGAGCCACACATTAAATACACTGCAACATGTAATCATTAAAAAAAAAAATCGTAATATTTTAAGTAACTTTGAGTTTGTGTGGGGCTGCATTCACAGCCATCGTGGGCCACTTGCAACCTCCAGGCTGCAGGTCGGGCACCCCTGTGAGTTTAGAGGATTAGAAGTCCCCAGGTAACTAAGGGTTGGGAACAACTCGCCCAGGCATTTTGAAGGCGTGAGGAGCACTTTGGGGCCATGCTGGGTAGTGTGGAGCTCAGCACCTACCTTCTCAGCATTGTGAGAAGGATCACAGTGTAGCCGGAGGCCAGGTGCCAGGTCAAGTTGAGGAATTTGGACTTTATCCTACTACCAGGGAGAAGCAATTGAAAGAATTTGAGCAGGGCGTGACAGGATTAGACTTGCATTGCAGAAGGAACTTTGACACGGGTAGGGAGGATAGAGAAGTGAGCGGAGGACCAGAACAGATTAGGAAGCTTAAAAAATAATCCAGCTGAAGGAAGCTGAGGACCTGATCTGGGACAGCAGCAGGGCAAGGATGTTCTCTCTATTTCTAGTTAGGGCTTTGGCCCAACCCTCCAGAATTGCAGTGGAAATGCTTTCAGAGACCAGGTGAGATGGCTCACCTAAAGAAACCAATACGAGAAGCAACCAAGTGGCTCACTCCTTCATTCATTCATTCTTCATTCAGCCAAAAGCCTATAGAAAACCTTTTCTATTAGGAAGGTGAATTGGGAAACTAAAGAAGGAAAGGGGGTGCCACGTGCTTTCACTATGAAGGTAGAGGCAGAATGGTTTGCCCCAAACTGGGAGGCCCACATGCAGCCCACAAATACTGCACACCTAACCAATGCCAATCTCTGTTTTAAGTGCTGGTGACACCGCACTGAACAAGACAAAGTCCCTCATCTCACGGAATTTACATATTCTAGGAGTAGAATGACAAATGAAGAGCCCCCAAAATGCACAGGATATGTGAGGATCAGTTTAGCTTGGCTGGAGAGACTTTGGGTAGGGAGTAGGGAAAATTAGATGTCGTCGCCCAAGTGTCACCTGCCTAAGGCCAAACAAGTGTGACATCAGGCAAGCGAGTCACCAAGGTCCGAGTTCAAAGTCCGTGCCCGCCTGCGGCTCTTTTCCGGTTGTGCAGAGTAGAAATGGCGTGGTGCCCCGGGCTCACAGGAGAGAAGAGCGCCAAGCTCTGAGCCAGCTCCGCGGAAGAGTGGCGGCGTGGGGTGCAGAACCCTGGGACAACCTGTTTGCCGGACAGTCGTAGGCACCCTCGGGAGGGCTGGCCCAGGCCCAGGCCCGCAGGCAGTGAAGCAGGCTTCCGAGTCACCCCCCAGCTGGGGGTTCACTCGCACGCACATCTGGGAGGAGGCGGGGGTGCTCCTTACGGCCTGTTGGTTCCCCCAGCTCGCCAGTGGTTCGTCCCGAACACCCCTCCCCGTGCGGCGGGTGCCGCGGCCCGCCCCACTTCCGGTTATGCTGGGGCCCTATATCCGGTGTCCGCCCGCCCTCGGTTCCGCCGCCACAGCCGCTGCCGCGATGCTGTCCCGGTCCCGCTGCGTGTCCCGGGCATTCAGCCGCTCGCTGTCCGCCTTCCAGAAGGTACGGTTTGGCCGGGCCGGGGCCGCGGTCGCGGCGGGTGAGAAACCCGCCGGTGGGCAGACGGGCTGCTTGGGGGCAGAGGCGCGGTGCGCCGGCCAGGCCGGGCACCAAGGGCACTGGGACGCAGAGGCCGCGGGCTGGGTGGCCGAGGGCCGCTGTTGCCCCCGAGGCCTTCTTGTGGAGCCCAGCGGCCCCTCGCCTTCCCGAGGCAGCCGACGCACCGTCCCCTGCTGTACCCCACCCTCCGCACCGGGGCTGAGGAGACGCCTAGAGCCGTGCCCACCCCGACACGAGGCTCAGAGTTTGGGAGGAGGCGCCGTGGGTCCCCCCGACGGTATCCGGGGACCTGTTCCTTCTCCTCTGTTAAAGTCAGTGGGTATTCACTCCCGTTGGAAAGTTGAGATGCTCGACAGGCCCCGTATGCTGAGTCTGAGAGTCGAGGTTGCTGCATTTACTTTTTGGAGTCAGGAGCTTCACCTGCCACCAGCACCTGGACAGCTTTGGGTCTTTAAGAGAAAAAGCTGTTTCTTCCCTTCTTTCGTCTTGGGTGACGTCGGTAATGTCTTCTTTCTCAACAGGGGAACTGCCCTCTAGGGAGACGTTCCCTGCCTGGTAAGTTCTGCCTTTGCCGTCATCTAAAATGCTCTCCTCCTGGGCAGAGTATGAGAAGAAATCAGGACACCTGTGTTTCTCCGTGTGATGCTTAGAAACATAGGCAAGAAACAAGAGGCTATTTAGTAATAGTAGCTATCATTTATTTGTTTAGTACATAGTTACTAAGTTTCTACTGTATCCATGTCCAGGGATACAGCAATGGGAAATTCTTGTCCTCCTGGAGCTTACAGTCTAGTGGAAAACACAAAATGTAAATTACTACACAAATGAACCATCCCAGATTTTTGTTAAATGTTGAGAAGAAAGCAAAGGAAGGTGGACAGCAGAGTCTTCTGTTAAATGTCATTAAACCTGTGCAGTGAAGAGCAGGAAGAGGAAAGGGAAGAGCATGTACAAAGTCTCTGAGAAAGGAAGGAACTTAGCAGTGTTTTGTCCCAGTAATTTCATATATGCCCGGAGTATTTGTGGAATAAGTTGATCTTATTGTGGGCTTTCTGTGTGCCAAGCAGTGTTCCGAGTGCTTTCCTTGCATTTTTAAGTTAATCATTAAGAAACAGCAGTAGAAGTATTCTGTTTTACAAATGCAGAACCCAAGGCTAAGAGAGGTTAAGTGCCTTGACCAAGGTCACTCGGCCAAGTATTGGTCAAGCCAGGTCTACCTGACTCCTCAGCCTGACTCCTGTACTCAATGGATAATTAATTTATTGAGTTCTCACTACATGACAGGCACTGTGCTAGGTGACAGAAACAGAGATGGCCTCTCTCTACCCTCAAGAATCTTATGTGCTAGCTGGAGAAACAGTAGATATATTTGTATCCTTACGTAGGGATGTACTTACATTGTGATTACTGTGAAGGAGAAGTGCGGAGTGTCATGAGAGGGTGGGATGATGTAGACCAGCTGGGGAACGTGGAGGGTGCGGTGGGCTGTCCCTTAGGGCTTCTGCGAAGAAGTAACATTGAAGCCAAGCGTTGAAGAGTACAGAGGAGTTATCCAAGAGTGATGTTTCGGGCAAAATGAATTGCTCATGCAAAGGTTTTCAGGCTGGAAGTGACTTGACTGGTCATAGAAATGGGAAGGAAGCTGGCTGGCTGGAAACTGCGTTGCGCTTGGGGTTTGCATAGTGGCTCAGGTTTCACCTTGGGCTAGTGACTTAACCTGTGGAAGTCATATTCATATATGAAATGGGAATAATGGCAGATGGCTGTTCCACTTCAGGGAGTGGTGAGGCACAAAAATCAAAGTCAGGTCATTATGTGAAAGCTTTTTATAAACTCTAAAAGACAGTACAAATGACACTTATTGTAGGATGAACTCTAAATTGGACTTGGGGGTCTAAAAATCACCATGGGCTTGGCTGTTCTAGGTCAAAGGCATGTTATACTTGGGTGCTGTAGAGTCATTGGCTGCTGGACATAGAGGGGACTTGACTCTTGAACCCTGGGGATGTTTGTGGGGAGGTGGACACAAGAGAGAGCTGTCTCCCATTTGTTGTCTTCCTGAGCCTCTGGTTCAGAAAGGGTAGTTAATAGATTGGAAAAATGGAAGATCATATTCAGGTGAGGCAGCTGTAGTAATTAGTTTTTAGTTGGGAAGTGCAATTATCTGTGATAAGGATGGTGAAGGCAGAAAGGGACTCCCATCTGCTGAGTATTACCGGACTAGAAGACGTCAGGGAGACAGTAAACTGAAGGGAGGGATAATTATTTGCTCAGTCTTAGGACAAGCTGGAGACCCGGGGCTTAAAGTCGTCCAGTCTTTGCTGCTAGTGTTTAGGCAGTGAGACTTCCAGCCTGGTCCATTTTAAGTAGCCAGGGAAACAGACCCAGATCAAACATTCCCACTGCCTCTCAGATAAGGCTGTGTGTAATTATAGGATAAGCTAATATGTGTCTTTCTCAAGTTTCAGTGTATTTGAAGACTTTGGGAGTAGAGACATTTTATTAGGAAAACATTAGGGATAATGAAAATTTATTAATTTTAAGGTAAATACGATAAAACTACTTAGAATTCTCCCTTTCCTCCGCAACCACATACCCACTTAACCCCACACACCCCTTTGCTTTCTGCCATAATGGTTACTTTGGTGGAAAATTTTAAGAAGCAGGACTCTGTGATAAAGGTTATATTGTTGCCTGTAGTTGATCCTGCTCTATCTCAGAGTTAGGGGGCCAACAGACTTTTCCATTCCCAACAGGTATCCTGTATAAGATAAGAATTGTTGGTTAAGAGTTGTTTTGTTTCTTGCAGGGGTCTCCTTATGTCAGGGACCAGGTTACCCTGACAGCAGGAAGATTGTGTAAGTATCACTGGGAAGTACAGTTATGTAGCCATGGGGTATTTAAGATGCCAGTTCTAAATTTGACCATTTGCTTTATTCACTGGCTTCCAGGGCTAGAAACCTAGGTGGTTATGTTGAGTCCCTAGACCTAACCTTGATGTTAATTTATGACGTGTGATGTACCTTGAGCTTCAGCCCCATGTCAAGTGCTGGACCAGGAGTGTTCCTGTCCTAAGGTGTTTAGATTATAATGAAAGTGAAGTTGAAACCCTCTTTTTATGATTAATAGGTATAGAAGGGTGCTCCTAAATAGTTTTCTGGTTGGATACACGTGCAGCTGAAGGGCTGGAGGTTACATTTATTGTGGAGATTGAGAGCATCCTCTTGATAGCATAGTTACTGATTTTAGAAAGAGTAAAAGCAAAGGGCTAGTCGATTGAGTCCTGGGACTTTGACTAGTTTGGAGGGAATGCTATTATTACATAATGCAAAGTTTGGAGAAAGGCCACCCATGTGTGTTTCAGATTAACTTCTGCTTATGAATATTGCTTAATGCTACTTTGCCTTCCAAGTATTTTCAATGTGGTGGTAAGAGGATGCTCTCTAGTTACCTAGTAAGCAACTATCAAGCTATTTTCCCTGCATGGAAAATCTTCACAATGAAGGGTCAGCAAGTTAATTCCTTCACATTGCTTCAGTGTGGGTTTTTGTTTGTTTGTTTGTTTGTTTGTTTTTTTAAGAAGATGATGCACTCAGTACTAGAAGTATGAATTCCTGTGTTATTTTTAGAGGGTGATTTGGCATTCGTAAGTCTTTGAACTGTGTAAACCTTTTGATCCAGCAATTCCATTTCTAGGAATCTGTACTGAAAAAGCCCTGGTATACCCAAATTTCTCTCAAAATGGCCAGACAACAGGGACTGGTTAAGTTATACCATGTTAACACGTTCACACTACGATAAGTGGAAGAAAAGCAGGTTATAAAATGATTTCATTTTCTATGGACTGGTATAATCCCATTTTAAATGTTCTTTTTGCTATTTCCAGTATTCTTCAGTGAACATCTAATATTTTGGTAATGGAAAAAATTATTTAGAGAGATTTAAAACGTGATACACCTGCAATTTGAATGAAAATTGGAACAACAACAAATCTCCATGCAATAAATACAACAAATAACTATTTGAAAGTAAATTATTTTTTAAAATCCTAACTTTGAGGAGATTACACATTAGATCAGACTCTAATAACTTTTTGAGTTGTGTATTTTTTTCTGTGAATAAGATCTCCACTTTATTTTTAAAAATTATTGTACAACTATTTTTGGCTTTCTGTTTTTATTTAATAGATTATAAATTATATGATCCAAAAGTAGAAAGTGTCTGTGAGAGGAGACTGTGTCCTCCCGCACCGCCGAGCCCCTCTTCCCAGAGACAGCGCAGCAGGGCCTCGAACGCCCTGCAGAGCAGTCCCTGCGCGTGCGGCGGTGCCTGCCCCTGCCCGTGTACACTTGGTGTTCTGTATTTTTTATAACATACATTTTTCCTTGATTCTACATAGAACTTACAGTTATTTTGACATTAAAGGTAAAAATACCAAAAGGCAACTTAAATCTGTTTTACTTTTCTACCATAAAGGTGCTTGGTATAGAATATTCAAGAAGCCCTGAAATGTAGATAGTGAAAGTCCCCATCACTCTCTCCAGAGGTAACCGCTGTTAATATTTTCCTCGATACAAAGTGTTATTCTCTGGTTTACATTATTTAAAGTTAGTGCCATATCAGAAAATACCTTGGTCTTTTGAAATTCCTTTTTAATGAGTCCAGAATGCACTAGGATATACCATATGAGGGATTTTTTTTTTTGGGGGGTGCATAATACCTGTTTTACTTTTGAGCTAACTGCCTCATCTAGCTTACTTATTTAAATTTGCAATCCTACGGACAGAAATTCCATTGTATGTGGCACAATGGCATGTATCCTGCACAAAGGCATGCAATTTATCTTACTCGGATTTAGTTAAGAAAAAAAACATAATCGGAGAGTTAAGTGCTTTTGGTGAGTGTGCAAAGGACCAAAATGCTTATCTTTTTCTTCAAAGAACCAACTATCAGACTTTTTTTGTGAGAGCTGGCATTTCACTGCAGAATAGGGCCCTGGATGTACACAGCGAGCTCCTCGCTTACAGCACGCAAGTCGTCCAGGCTCCTCCCGAGACCTGCTGGTCAGCATCTTTCGGCACAGGGCCTGGTGAAGTTCCCTCAGGGGACACTGATGGGCACCCCGGTCAAGAATCACTGATTTAAAGGGAAGGTGATCCATGGTGCCTGAAATGTGACTGGTTCACTTGCTAAAGGAGTTTACTTTTATGTTTCTTTTATAGCGTTAACAATAGTATTGTCTCCAGCATTCGCTTCTTCAGAACTACAGCTGTATGCAGTAAGTACCTGCCTTCAGCTCTGCCTTCTTGGGAATGGAGTTTTAATGGGAAGAGCAACAATTGTCTGAATTTAATTAAAGAAAAAAAATTTAAGGAAAAAGAATGTGGGTTGTGTGTGATTTTTTCTTTTTTGCTGTTTTCCTAGAGGATGATGTGATTACAGTCAAAACCCCAGCGTTTGCAGAATCTGTCACAGAAGGGGATGTCAGGTGGGAGAAAGGTAAGATTAGTGCCCTCTCACTTCCTAAGTATGTTCTAAAAGTCCCCTCGTGCAACCGCTCCCCACCCCCATGACAGTCAGTGGAACCTTTGGCTCCACCCATTTCTTTACATGCATCGTACTCTCTGCTGACCCTGTAGGAAAAGGGCCTTTTACCTGCCAAAGGGGATTTTGTGGCTACCTGGAGGCCCCCCTGACAGGTAGCCTTTGACTATCTTTTCAGCTGTTGGAGACACAGTTGCAGAAGATGAAGTGGTCTGTGAGATTGAAACTGACAAGGTAGGCTTGTCCTATATTAGTGCCGATTTTTTAGGGTCTCCTCTTGGTTTCTTAACCTAATGAAAGAAACAGGGACCTAATTATTGTTTAAAGATAATTTTTAACTGGCTCTAAACATAGTTGTAGTAGTGTTGGAATAGCTCACTAAAAATTTTAAAAGTTTAATTTTAGATTGTTCTAGGTCAGTAATTTTCAACTTTTTTCATCTCATAGCATACTTAAACTAATTACTAAAATTCAGTGACACACCAAAAAATATACTTTTGGCTGATCTGACAAAATAGGTATAATTTTGATTCATTCACACTGAATGAATGGCTATGGCTGTGTTGGCTCTTGTCATTTTTTTTACCTGACAGTCTAAGGAAAAAGAGATCAGTGCCCCTGACTCTGAATGTTTTAAAAATTCTTGCAGCTCACTGATTGAAAATTGCATTTCTAGGTGTAAGTACTATATACTTTAGTAGTAGTTTTGTAGCTCTGCGAGCCCATGGGTGTGCACAGTTTGTTGCCAGGTTTTCAAGTATTGCCTTGGAAACTCATGAACTGAATGTTTTAATGTTTCTGAGAAAGGACAGAAAGGGTGAATCTTCACAATAGCATTGACTTGTCATACTCTTATTCTGAAAGTGTGGCCTTGGCTTTTCTATATGCACAGTCTTATATATCTGTGTTGCAACTCTGTGACTCATATTTCAGATTCTGTACAATTAATTTTCTAATGCTGAGTAAAAATTTGGACTCTTTCTCTATCTGTCTTTTCCAGACGTCGGTGCAGGTTCCATCACCGGCAAACGGTGTTATTGAAGCTCTTTTGGTACCCGATGGGGGAAAAGTAGAAGGAGGCACTCCTCTTTTTACACTCAGGAAAACTGGCGGTAAAGAAATTTTCCTGGTTGTTGAGGTCTTCAGTGCTGCTCCTTGGGGTTGGGACCGGGCATAATGCGCTAATTAATTCCTTGGTACCTCAGAGACAATTTGGCATTCCGCCTCCCTGTAGTTGAATGAGAGGGGCAATACTTACATAATGTGGACTTTAAATGTCAAGTTCTAGAAGAAAAGGGTATTAAAATAAACCTCACAATACTGTTCTTTCCATGTATGTTTCTTATGCTAGACCTTTTTTTGAAGATATGATAGAAGTCAAGAAGATTCTAAAGACAGCAATTTTTTTTTTCTCCCTAACCTTGGCATCAGAATCACATGAAGGATTTAAAAATAATACAAATGCCTAGACTTTATGGTCCAGGGATCCTAATACATTAAATCTGGGGTTACAAGATCTTGGTTGTCTATCATAGTTTTGTGCACACGTGCATGTGTGTGTTTTAATACTCTCCAAGTGATCCTGATACATAGCTGGGGCTGAGAGCCACTGTTTTAAAGTGAGAAGCAGCAGTATTTCATAGTGTCTATTATGGAGAATTTAGTGTAGTGTTTTTATATCTGTTCTCATTAAATTTGTAGGGAGGGTTGATATTTCTCTTGGGAAGAAATGAGAAGTAAGGAAATTAATCTGTACTGGACCTTATACTTAATATTAGAGAATAAGAAAAAAATAAGTTTTTCTGATTCTCAGCTAAATGCTGTAACTACTAAAGTTTATTTCTTTTCATTGTTAAAATATATGTAAGAGAGATGGTAGATAGCATCATCGAGATTGTTCAGGGCAGTACAGAAACCCAGAATGGAAAGAATATGCAGTAGAAGGCTAGGGAAGAAGATTGATTCTTCAGTTGAAGAATTTCATTTTCTGATCATTTATTCCTTTAAAAGTTCTAATTTAAATATAAAACCAGATACAATGTCCAGATGGGAAAAATCAAAATAAACATCTAGTTTAATCATGTGAGTTTAGTAGGTGACCACCTCATTGGTTTATGAGAGTTGTCCTAGATGAAATGCTTTGAACTCTAAGACTAAAGGAGCCCTTAATTATTTACCAGGGTGTCCAACCTGCGGCCTGCAGGCCGCACATGACTCAGGATGGCTGTGACTCTGGCCCAGCACAAAAATCATAAAGTTAACTTAAAACACTATGAGAATTTTTTTTGTGATTACATGTTGCAGTGTATTTAATGTGTGGCCCAAGAGAACTCATCTTCCTCTTCCAGTATGGCCCAGAGATACCAAAAGTTTGGACAGCCCTGAACCTTTGCTTTTTAATAGCTAAGAATATTCTTTTGCACGTGATGTTAAAATAGAAGATGAGACTGTCAGTATTACCTTAACTAGGAATGTTATTTTTATGTATGAATTTTGAATGTCTTAAATTGCCTAGGTTTCTTTTGCTTAGAAGTTTACATTTCTGTGGGCTTAGTAGGTGCTTTGAAAGTACTTGCTGAATTCGGTGATCAGTTAGGTATTTGTGAAATTAGAAAGGCAGCTGAATTCAGGTAATCTGATGTAGGACATCTGGGAGCCCTGGGGAATAGAAGAATGGAGCCTTATGTCATTGTGTCTCATAATGCCTTGCATATATAGCAGATAGCCGGGAAGCATTTGTTAATTGATTGGAGATAGAGCTTTTGCTACTAAATTCTGCTTTGTGTCTGTGATGTGTCCATTCCAGACAGTGCCAGTGGCACCTATTTTTCTCGTTTTCCAGCTGCTCCTGCTAAGGCCGCGCCAGCCGAAGCCCCCGCTGCTGCAGCCCCAAAGGCCGAACCTGTAGCCTCAGCGGTTCCCCCTCCCCCTGCAGCATCCATACCCACTCAGATGCCGCCGGTGCCCTCGCCCTTACAGCCTCCTGCCAGCAAACCGGGTAAGCCTCCCTCCTCTGTGATTTCCTGTGGGAGAAGAGCAGTCTCGTCTAATACCATGTTTCCTCCCAGGGCAAGGTCTGAGACTAACTGTGGTTCTGAGCAGGCTCTTTTGGCTGCTTTATAGAAAGAACTGTAGCCTTTGTATCAGAACACCAGGGTTTGCATCCCAGCTTTGTTTATAGTTTTGTGACTTTTGGCTAGTTACTTAACTACTCTGAGCAGATTGTTCATTTGTTAAGTGGGAATGGTACTCATATACCTCAGAATATCTTGACGATTAAGTGACAGTACAGAATGACAACACTGGCACATACTCAGTACATGGTTCTCTCATTTTTGATGCAGCTGTACCCCCCCGCCTTCATTTTCAGTGTCTGCAATAAAACCCACTGCTGCTCGTCCGGTAGCCGAGCCAGGAGCTGGTAAAGGTCTGCGTTCAGAACATAGGGTAAGCCTCTGAGAACCGCTTCCAGGAGGCAGGCAGAGGGGCAGTGTTGAGATCAGTGGAGTGTGGGTATGGTAGTGCCAACCTTTGCATGACTGGCTGCTTATTCTCTTGACCTTGACAAAGAAACTGAGTTTGGGAAGTGATTTGTTTATAGTCACGAACTGTCAAGTGATAGGACTAGGACCTGAGTGAACACTTGTCCAGTGGTTTTTCCCAGTATGTTATGCTACCACTGAAACGTCTTGGGTGAGTAAATATTTGCAGGGATGCTAGTTAGTATCGTGGCAGGGAGAAGGATGCATTAACATACTTCAGAGAGGTGGTTTAGTGAGCTCTATTCCTATACTTCCGGGATACCTAGCTGAGGACTACACAGTAGCAGTGTCTGTCAGGGGCAGACACAAAACCTGAAGGAAGTTATGGTCAAGAGTGTGGGTTCCTCTGCCTGAGAATACTGCAGCCTCAAAAGTTTATTGCTTCTGAGTTTCCATTCCACACATAGCTATTCTCATGCAAGTCTTTCAACATTAGAAATTGCCTTTTCTGTAAGTGATCCCTGAGTTGACTAGCCCTATACCACACTCTTCCTTTTCATAAACTGGTTTGGTTTTTAAATCAAACCATTTCCTGGGTCGTCGTTCTTGGTCAAACTTCAAGCATGTCTGGAGCAAGGACACAGGAAAGAGGAAGCGTGGGGTTCTTGTTGTACTAAGATAATAGTCCTGACCATCCAGTCCTGGCAAGTGGGTGCTCCCTCGGACTAAACGAGCAGTGCTTGATCCAAAGAGACCCAAGTCGTCAATACTTGTTCTACTTTGACTTTCAGGAGAAAATGAACAGGATGCGGCAACGCATTGCTCAGCGTCTGAAGGAAGCCCAAAACACATGTGCAATGCTGACAACTTTCAATGAAATTGACATGAGGTGAGAGCTCTCTTCCTGTTATTCCCTTCCTCTCTTCCTAATTGTCACCTGAGGGCATGCTTATTGATTTTAGAGAGGGGGTGAGGGAGGGAAAGAAACATTAATGCGAGAGAAACATCAGTTTCTCTGTCTGGCTGCCTCTTGTACACACCCTAACTGGGGACTGAACCCACAACCTAAGTATGTATCCTGACCAGGAATCAAACCTGGGACCTTTCAGTTTATGGGACGACATGCCAACCGATTGAGCCACACAGGCCAGGGCCATACCCTCTTTCTTGGAGAACACTTGGACTTGCCCCAGTCGTCGCCTAGTGCCGATTACAAAATTAACAGGGAAAAGTTACTTACTGCTTTGTATTGCTTGTTGATTTAAACGAAGTGACCCACTGGTTCATTCTCTCATAGACTGTTAATACTATATGTGTCCCCTCTGTGACTTAAAAAGCTCAGCCTTTTAGACTTCCATACCTGAATCTTGTGATTTCTGATAAATGAGGTGGTATAGCCTTCAACTCTGATGACCAGTGTTGAGTTGCCAAGTAGAGATAGGGCAACGAGGCCGCCAGGGCTCAATGCCGAGGCCTACCCCTTGGGACGGAGGACCGCTGGCTGATGCCCAGAGCCAGGGCACTCCACCCTGCTGCTTTCTCACAGTCACTGCACACTCCTGAGAGACTCAGGATTGTGTGGGTGGAAAGGTGTAGGCTTGTATTACCGTTCCTCTTCCCCAGCTTTAATAATGAAATAGAAAACAAGTTTTGTTTTTAAAGGAAACCTCAGAAATTAACAAAAGGGACTAATACAGTACAGTGGATCTTCGAATAGTGTTGTTTCATTCAACATGGTTTTGTTATAATGTTAATGAGGTGGCAGAGAAACTTAACTTTTGTTTATGTTAAGTAGCCTGTGGTCAAATTGGTTTCATTATATGTTGTTTCACTTAAAGTTGGAAAACCTGTCAACAACACTAAGTGAGAACTTATGTATACTCATTTCTGTAGTAAGCTCATTGCTGACTCCTCTGTTTTCTTCAAGGTTTTGACGTTTACAAGTACCAGCACTCTAGGGAAGAGAATGTAGTTAAATTTAACGTTTTTTTAGCGCTTACTGTGTACAAGATACTAAGTGTATTCGAGGAGGATACAAAGATGAGCAAAAAAGAGCCCCTGCCCTTCCAGGGTTTACTGTCTCGTGCAGATTGGCACAAAGTGAAATCTAGAAAAGTAAACATCAGAGGGGCGCAAAGAGTGCGAAGTGGAAAAGAATGGTGGCATTTGTTTTTGAGGTGGGGGCAGAGACAGGGAGGGTAGGTCAGGAGAGGCTTCCTGAAGGAGAGAGAACAGCATTTTGACAGAAGTAACAGGGAGAAAGGTCATTCCAGACGATGTTTACAATGTGGACTTGACAGAGGAAGGTACAAGACACGTTTGAGAAATCTGCTGTGAGGGTCATGTGTGGGAAGGGATGGAATAACAGGGGTAAAAGTGTATATTTAATTCAGGGGTGAATCATCGAGTCTTTAGGCCATTTGTTTCTTTTGGTCCTCTGTGTTTAGCCTGCTAATCTACTTTTAATTAGGGAAATCTGTTTTCCTTTGGAAGGGATCTGAAAAGTATAAGAAGGGACTGATTTTTGACAGTGTGTGATGGCATTCACAGAGGAGGGCTCTGTGGCCTATTTCACTAGATGTTATCCGTGCTGTTGTGAAGCTTCCTAAAAAGATTGTATCTCACTCAAGCCAGAGTTTTCTCTCCCGGCCATAGGATGTAGGGAAGAACCTTGACTAATGAATCACAGCGTCTGCAGCTTAGGTTTCAATGCATTAGGGCCAAATTGTGCACAAATTGAATTGGACTTTGAAATTCTACCCAGTATCTTAAGACAAAACATGTAAATATTTGTGGCCTTGAAAAAGATGCAGTTGGCTTTAACAGCTTTGATTGGACGATAGGAGCAAAAGTTGGATCTCCTTTTAGCAGCTAATTGAGGTGTCACATAATGATGGCCGGGGCCTTGCTGCAATCAGTAATCTGGTTTAGATCGAATGCCCTTTGGGTCTCGTGCTGATCAGCTAACCCATAGGGGCCTTTCTGAGAAACCTTCTCCGCTCCCTGTTGTCCCAGCCTCCGCCTCCGAGGGCAGAGCTCTGAAATAGAAACTCCTTAATGACCCGACAATAGCATTGGGGCAGGTTTGAGAGCAGAGATGTTTATCACTGCTCTTTCCCACTTCTGCAGCTCTTGTGTCTTGGGAACCAGTAATGTCTTTAGGGTGGTAATCCTAGCACTAAATAAGGTTAGACTCAGGAAAACAAACATTTAAACTCAATCATTCCCCCTAGGAAAACTTCCTTTTCAAGAAACAAAGGTCTGAAAGGGAGAGTTAAAGTTGTATCATCTTATCTTTCATGCTAATGTCGAATTAGATCATTATAGGGAGAAAGGGAGAACTGAGCATTTGGGCCCACGATAAAGTTAAATTCGATTTCTATCATAGAACTCTGCTCCAATAAATATTTAGGTTTCTTCCGCAAAATGATGGGAAAGCCATTTCCCACGGACTCTGCAACAGTGCATCTGTGGTGTGTCTGTGGGGAAGCTGGTCCTGAAGGAACAAAGGCCATTCGTGGTGCAGAGGTCTCTCAGGAGGCGCTGCTGCTCGTGCCCTGACAGCTTAGGGTCACACACAGCCACTCAGCTGAACACCCAGGAAACATGTCCATTCAGCTAATCTTTCGAGCAAGAGTTGTGTCTCTATTACATATATTTGTATCTTGGTGCCTAGCACTGACCCTCATATGTAGTGGGGCACCTGTTTGAAGGAAGTGGATGGAACTACCGACTCTGAGGAGGCGAAGAAGGCATCTGCTACTGACTTTCCCATCCGCCCAGGAGAACACGGGGGTTATACCTGCCGTGTATGGCTGCTTTGGCTTACATGGAGCCCGTGCACCTGTGGAGTGTTTTGGGAGCGGGTTTTGTTTTCACTACTTAGGAGATAGACATGTCGCTAGGAGATAGACATGTCGTAATCAGGTTTGGTGGTTTTTTGAAAATAATTATAATAAATAAAAAGAATATTGCCTATTTTGTGGACTTTACGCTTTAAAAAGATTTTTTTCAGGGTAGATAGCTCATGATTTTAGTGTAGCTGAAAATCACTTTACCAGGGCAAGGGTGTTGGTATGCTGTTGTGATCTCTTGTTCATGTTATCTGCCACTGAAATCTGATTCTTGGAGCATGAAGGAGCCTGTGCAGGGCTCGGCCCACCTGAAAGATAGATTGGACCTGATCCCTTGGTATCCGGGTTTATTTGGTAAAGGAACAAGGAGATTATTGTGTTGACCTCTAGTGGACTATTTCAAAACTTGAACTTTACGGTACAGACTAAGGGAAAAAAGCTTACCCAATTGTGTACATGGAGTTAGAAACCAGTATGAAAGTCAAAATCAAGGCTTCCCTTTAGTCAGTCTGTTTTGTAATGTGTTTTTGCAGTAACATCCAGGAAATGCGGGCCCGGCACAAAGATGCTTTTCTGAAGAAACATAACCTCAAATTGGGCTTCATGTCGGCGTTTGTGAAGGCCTCGGCCTTCGCCTTGCAGGAACAGCCCATTGTAAACGCAGGTGGGTGCAGGGCGACCAGCACGGCAGGGCCCTGGGAGGCGCGTGAGCGGATGCAGACCTGCTCCCATGCAGACACGGGCACGGGGGCCCACAGACCAAGACTTTTAATTTCCTACCTGTGCGAACACCAGTGTCTTCCCGGGGATTTCTTCATTCGCCTTCCTGAAATAGTATCGTAATGACTTTGTCCCCACCAGATGGACAGAAGGATTTCCCTTCGTGTGCACAGTTTGGGAGTTCTCAGCCAGCTCAGCTTTGCAGGCTTCTCGTGTCAGGGTGGAAGCTCACAGACTGCGTGGCACTCACCTTCCCAAGGGCTCTGTTATCTGGGGGCCTGACTTCCACACTTGGCATAGGCTCCAGGGTGACCTTTGATTTCTGGTTCATATCAGGGCCTCGCTGGGGGGCCTTGGCCTTGGCTCCTCCTCCATGGACTTAGTGCTCATTTTCCTTTTGTTTTACTCACCTACGTCATTGAAATGTTGACCTAACAAGCAGTTTTCTTTCCTATTGGGACACTTCTCTGTTCTCTAGAAGATTGAAGAGGGGGTATTGACACTTTTGCAACCCTCAGCAGTGCCAGGGTCCCTAAAGATCTAGAAATAGAAGCACTAGTTCCTTCCATCAAGTGATGTGCTCTGAGTAGATAGAAGGGCTGTGTTTGTTTTGCCCATATATGTACCTCTTTGTTTCTTCCATTCTTCTCATGCTCCCTCATTGGCTCTGGTCTTTCTGCCTGACCGTACACATAGGCATTTCGGAGTTCTCTTGGGCTATTTGTCACTTTACATGCTTTCCCTGGGTGTCTTGATCTAACAATACAACACACACTTTCTGTGGAAAAGATTCCCAAGGCTGTATTTTTCATGAGCACTGGACCTAAATTTTCAGATGCTGTTTGCTGTCTCAACAGTACTAAAGCCAGACCACACCACTTTGTCCTGAACCTCCTAGAAAGAGCCGTCCCCCATGCCTTGTCCCCTTTGTTGAGAGTGGGCAGCTAATGGGCAGAGCTGCACCCCCACCCCACATGCTAATTTCCTTTTTGGGGAGCACTTTTTAAACCTAGATGTTCTCAGCTATGGGACAGCTTGTTAACAAGAGCTTAATGTATACATACTGTATGGGAGCCAGTGTTTTGGGCCCTTCTGAGGGCTGCCAAAGACATGCATGGATTCTCCTCTGCGCAGGCCCTTAGAATCATTCAGGGCATTTGGCAGATGTGTACGATTGGTTAGCATGAGAGTAAGAGGGGTTTGCCCCTTGCATTGCAGTGCTTTCCATGCTAAGTGGTCAGCCCACACTATACCAAGCACTGTGGATTTTTACTCTATTAATGCAAATACTACCTCATCAGCCTAGGCCTTATGAGTTGTATGTAATGTGTGTTTTTTTTTCTCGTAGTGATTGACGATACAACCAAAGAGGTGGTGTATAGAGATTATATTGACATCAGTGTTGCGGTGGCGACGCCACGGGTATGTTGGGGCAGGAGTTGGGGGGCTCTGGTCTTAGATTCTCACCTTATTTGTGTGAGGAAGCAGACACCTGGGCACAGATCATGTCTGTAATTACGTCTTTTTAAAAAGGAGTTTGTTGCCCTGGCTGGTGTGGCTCAGTGGATTGAGCACTGGCCTGCAAACCAAAGGGTCACCGGTTCAATTCCCAGTGTAGGGCACATGCCTAGGTTGCAGGCCAGGTCCCCAGTATGGGGTGCACGAGATGCAACCACACATTGATGTTTCTCTCCCTTTCTCCCTCCCTTCTCTTCTCTAAAAATAAATAAATCTTTGGGAGGAAAAAAAAGGAGTTTGTTAAAATAACCTATTTTTGACCATACCAAATTCTTTTAATGTCAAGCCTAAATATTTTAGACTCTGTTAATTACATTGAATAATTAAGATATTCTAGGAAGGGGAGACCATTGACTTGAATCAAGGGAGTATAACTGTGAAGGGTGTTATTAATGTGCAACTGAAAACAGTTTTTTACTTTCATCAGGGTCTGGTGGTTCCCGTCATCAGGAACGTGGAAACTATGAATTATGCAGATATTGAGCGAACTATCAGTGAACTGGGAGAGAAGGTAAAGTAGGACACAGCATGTGGATCAGCTGCTGGGCAGGTCCGGAAAGAGAGCCAGGGAAGGCAGGGCTCACCAGCAAGCAGTGTGCAGGGAGATGGAGCCTCCCCATGTTCCGTCAGGAGCGCCAAGCCTCTCACCTGCAAGGGCTGAAGTGCAGGTGTCTGGCAGAGCTTAGCATGCTCTTGTGAGTGAAGATCTCATCAAGTGAGACCTGCTGGAAGAGAAAAGAACCTGAAGGCATTGTGCCTGTCCTCTCGTGGAGCGCTAGTTACAGGCATCTCGGCTGAGCAACTCCCATGTTAAAGCTAGAACTTGGACTGTTGATGTCAGATATGAACCTTCTGGACTTCTTAGGTGAAGAAAGCTCAGATTACCTTAACATTTCAATTATGAAATCTCTGTTTTTAGGCCCGAAAGAATGAACTCGCCATTGAAGATATGGATGGTGGTACTTTCACCATTAGCAATGGAGGCGTTTTTGGCTCCCTTTTTGGAACACCCATTATCAACCCCCCTCAATCTGCCATCCTGGGAATGCATGCGATCTTTGATAGGCCAGTGGCCGTGGGAGGCAAGGTAAGAACCATCCCCAGGAGCTAAGCGATGAGTGGGAAACCTAACTAAATGCTAATTGTAAGATTCACTATAATTTCAGGCATAAGTGTCATCTCTTCGTTTCTAATTAATAGCTAAGGCACCAATTCTCAAATTGTGTGTGGGTCAGCATCATCTGGGAACTTGTTAGAAGTGCAATTCTTGGGTCCCCTTCCGGATCTGTTGAAGCAGGAACTGCAGATGATTCTGACGCACATTAAAGTTTGAGGATGAGTGCGCTAAGAAGGCCTGCCCCTTGACCCAGGACAGTCAATAGGCTTCGTTCTCTAGGTGCTGTGGGGAGTGGGGATGCAGTTGGAGGCCTGGTCCGTGTCCCTAGGAAACAGGACAACAGTGCCTGTGAGCTTCCAAGTGTAGGATAAGGCCTAGAGGTTCTCTGGGAGTTCAGGGAGTGAAGCCAAAGGGTGTGGGGCCAGCCCTGAGGGTGTGGCAGTAGGAAAGCATTTTCTGGGATTGTGATTCAAACCTTTTTGGGTCACTAACTCCTTTGTGAATCTGAAAATCATAGCTCTCCCCTGAAAATGCGGACATACAACTTTGCATACAATTTCACAGAATTTGCAAACCTTAGGTTTAAAAAAAATTTTTTTCAGTTATAACCTTAAAGAAGTAACTGTAGCAGCCAGAACTGAAGGGGAAACTTCCTGCAGAAAACAAAGGGCAGAGTGCGATTAAAAAGGCAGTTGTGAGGAGACGCCTGTGTTCTTGGTTATGCTTTGTTTCTGAGTGGAGGAAGTAGAGGGGCTTGGTCTTTGAAAACATAAGTTTCTAGAAGCAACATCAGTAGGAAAGAAACTGGGAACTTTCTTATGGGCCATGCTTTTTTCATCTCCCCAATTCAAAGGGTCTTTTTTCTACTTTAGTGCAGAGATATCTGTAAACCTCTTATCTCTATAGGTGGAGGTGCGGCCCATGATGTTCGTGGCATTGACCTATGATCATCGACTAATCGACGGCAGAGAGGCTGTGACTTTCCTTCGCAAAATCAAGGCAGCGGTAGAGGATCCCAGAATCCTCCTACTGGACCTTTAGGAGGAAGTCACATACCCAGTACATTGACCACGCAGGAACTGAAAACCAGTCTTCTCCCTACCCCCACGTGGGTCCCGGGTTAGCCTGCTGACAGACAGGCACATGCTGTTGGCCTCAAGCAAGAAAGCCAGGGCACTATGTAACCAGCAGTCGCAGGTCTTTTCTTGGTGTTCTAGCAGGCTCTCTCCCTCCCTGCACCCCTCTCTTAACACTCGAATATCTTACTTCCTTAGGCTTGAGGGAGAGAGAGAGCCTTAACGGATGCTCATTAATATGCCTGCCTTTCTTCCATTAGCCCTCTGCAGAGATAATTTTGCTTCTCCCCTGTGCCAGTATATATACTATAGGGAAACCACTGGGGACCATGTGATTAAGTTTCAATCATTTGAAAGTGTATTCTCCCAGAGCTGCCTAGGGGAGTGCTGTGCCTCCCCAGCTCAGAGCAGCCCCTGTCCTGGCTGTGCAATCTCACCTGATTCCACCTGTGTGGAGGTATTGACCACCGGCCAAGAGGTGCTGCTTTGCTGCTTAAATGCACCTTCATTCTCAGCCGTCATAGACTTCAAGATGCCTCTTCTACCTCTTCCAGGAAGCACAGGCCAGGGGACCTGCAGTGTTGGCAGTGTGGAGGGGGCAAGGGCAGCTTCCCCCTGAGATCATAAGCTGTAAACACGGGAACAGAACCTAGGCCTGCCCTCACACTTTGCCGTAGCCTCACACCAGGAAGACCCACTCTGGTACAGTCACGCACAGCTGTGGTTGTGCCAACCTTTCTGGGTTGCTAGGAACCATTCTAGCACATTGTTCTCATTTAGGGTAGATTCTAGCACATCATGGCGATGGAGGGTGGACTGGAGCCTGGTAGCGACTGGAGTGATGGAGGCTCCCTGTGGACTGGCTCAGGTTGCCTTGAGCTTTTAAATTCCATTGGTAGAAGCACGTGGACTGAAGAGGCTGTTTGTTTCTTCCTGTATCGTGGCCCTTAGGGAGTGGGGCCTTAGCTCTTCCTCTGCAGAATGTGGGTCTGGGGGAGGACAGACTGGTGGAAACCAGCCCCAAGATGCTAGTACACAGGGAAAATGACTGATGTTACCTCTGAGTACTACCCACTGGGTCTGGATGCAATCACTGGAAAGCGTGGAACATGGTTAAATGCACATGTCTTGTCGTGAAAGCCACCAGGCTTCATTGCTTTGAATCCAACTGCATTCAGGCCGGAGGCCACTGACGCGACACCAGGGCCATTGTAGTGCAGAGTGCCCGTTTGTATCTTGAGCAAAGAAGCAAGCCTGGGGGATGGGGTGGAGGGAAGGGAGGGAGCCAGTACTGAGTGCCTGCAGCATCTACAATGTCTTCACTATTGAGAACTTGTAACTGAAATATTTAAAGAAACTGATTTTAAATGCAAATTAAAGGGCAAATGTTCTCAAACAGGGTTCCTGCTGTTTCTGTGTTCCTTTTGGTTTCTGAGCTTGTGTGAGTCTCCAGCACTGATATTTGCATTGAAAGGTGCATAATGTGCATGTTGTTACTCCATGATCCCAGGCTTTTGAAATAACACTACTAATTTGATACAAGTGGAACTGTGGCTGTCTGCCAGCTAGACAGGTGCCTTGGCTCCCTTCCAGTGATCCCCTCGAGCCCAGCAGGCCGTACTCGAGGACAGACTAGTTTCTACCTTCGGGAAGCCCCTACAAACACTAAGACACCTGCATTCTTGTGGGACTTGCATTATTTCTGGAATGGACTAGGAAGAGGTGGGACAACTCTTAAAATTTCACATTTTGGACTAGATTGCCACACATGTACCGAGCTGCTCAAGGCCAGTAAGTACAAGTGAAGGTGGACTACCTCCCAGGAGCGGTGGTCTGTGAGGGAGAGCCGACAGCTGGGAGCTGATCTGGACTGACCAGGTTACAGGTGTGATGGGTTTCCAGGCTCACATACAGCCTGGCCTTTCCACACAGCCCTTCTTGCTGATCTTGCTTCCAGTGATGCCATCTCTTTGAAGGTCTGTCACAGGACAAAGTGGCTCCCGGAAGGTAGAGCTATTGTTAGGTAGGAAAAAAAGAATTGGGTTCAATAAAAGGAATTTTAGAATTTTCTGTTAGGTCCAGGACATTGTGCTAGAAGTTTTCATCTCTCTAGTAAACCTGGTAAGGAGGTATTATCCCTATTTTTTTCCAAAAGGAGGTAGACTCTAAGCCCCGTAAGGGCTGGGACTGCAGTGTTCAAAACTCGGGGCCTAGCAAAGTGCCACAGAGACTGTTGCGTGGATGAGACCCAGAAGTTCAGAAGCAACTCGTACTCCATGCAGCTGTGGAGCCGACGGTCTGCCCGACTTGGAGTGTAGCAAAAGGAACATGAACCTTCAAACAGGCTGCACCAGGCCCTGACCAGGCCGTCATTATCCTCTCTGGAGAGCAGTCGTCATTCTCTGGAGAGCAGCCACCCTCTTTCTCAAGGGTCCCTGAGGGTAGTACACTATTCTTCCCAGGCATTACCACCCTCTTCCAGGACTTGTCTTCCTTTAATTTCCCATGAAGCCTGGGGACCCCTGCATGCCAGCACTCCGCCCGGGGCTCAAAGCTGCTCTGCGGGGCGTAGGGTAGCACGTGCGTCCATGCTATCCCCGCAGTGCTTCCTACTTCCTCAGGGATGCCAGGCCCACTGTCGACTATCATGGAGCTTCTCTGGGGGAGCCTTCCAATCTCCCCCTCCCGACACGGTGGCTCTCGTTGTATTCGTGAGGCAAGAACACCGCAGGTAACAACATCAAGGTTTATTGGGGGTGAGGGGTAAGGGCAAGCCCTGGACGAAGCAGGGCCGTGCCAGGCTGCGCTTCCTCATGTCCTCTGCCCGAGAGCCACTCCACCCTCCCTCGCAACACGGGTCCCTACCACCTGGGTTAGAGTTGGACCTCCGCAGTCAAACAGCAGATTAGTGTCAGGCGCCACCTAGTGGTGGTGCGGACACACTGGCGGCAAGGAGTTGGCAGAGGTCTGCAGCAAGTTTCTTAGGTGCCATACCCCAGCGACCAGGTGAGTTCTGAGAGGAAAAAGACGGCCCCCAAACCTGAGGAGAGGATTGTTTTTGGCGGTAACTACTTACCCCAGTTTTATTTGTTTACCCCAGAAACACTTTGCTTCTGGCTAAAAGCTTGGGCAATCATTCCGTGGGTTTTGTGATTCGTTTCAAAAGGGGATGAGGTCACAGCAGGCAGTGAACTGAACGGACTCTCAAGACTAAGATGCAAAATGGTAAACGGAGGAATGCCCCAGGAAGGGCTCCTAATGGGTTCAAGTTGTCTTAGCAGCTTCAGCCTGGAGGGCGAACTGTGGTCCCCTCTCAGACCCAGGGGGCGGGCTCCCCTTCCCCTGCACCCTGGTGGGCTAGCTGGGGAAGGGAGCCCTTCGTTCTGTTTCCACATTGCTGTAAGTGGCAAAGGCGTGCGTTCCTCCTTATCCTTACTTCCCTCCCTCCCCCTTTTCGCTCTTCAGAGTCTGAAATTACAAGATGGCGGCATGGCCCAGAGGGGGAGGGTCGCCCGGTGCCCTACCTCATGCCCCCGCAGACCTCTGCGCTGCTTCCCCGCCGCCCCACCCCTGCAGGAGGGGCCTCTGGGAGAAGAGGCCCAGCAGTTACACGGCTGAGATACCAGCCAGGGCAGCCCTGGTTTGAGTCCACGAAGCCAGTGGACCAGTACCCTGAGGTTCGTCTCCAGAGATGTCCCAGTGGGGCACAACGTGGCCGGTAGCGATTCGCAAAACCTTGAGGTCGGCTCAGCAGGTGGTCAGTGGTCCAGAGCTAATGTGACAGAAGGCACCACCCTTTAACGGGGGTAGGTCTGCATTCGAGGTTCAGAGTGTGCACCCAACAGGTTGCTGTTGACTGAGGGCCGGAGGGTGGATGGGTGGAGGGGTCCATGCTGCCCAGCAGGGTGAGAGATCTGTCCTGTCCCTCCCCCTCAGCAATGGCTAGAAGGGGTTTCTCCAAGAGCTGGCTGGGAGGCCCCAGGCCCCTCCTGGGCCGTGGCAATGACTACTTAGGAGGCCCAAGGGAGGGGGCAGAGCAGGAAAGGCAGCGGGCCTGCAGGCTTTGCCGAGGGCTGCTGGTTAGAGGGGCCAGCTCTGGGTGGCAGGCGAAGAGAGGGGATCCAGACCAGTCCGGCCGCCTCCGTCGCCCGCTCCGCTCCCTCTTACCCCACCAGTTTGCTCCACTGGATGGTACTGAAAAAGGGGTGGGACTTGAGTCTGTTGACGCCGCTGCCCCCAGTGCCCAGGCGCCGGCTGGGATCAAACTGCAGCAGCTGCGGAGAAAGGCCCAGTCAGCGCCTGGCCGGCCTTCCCAGCCCCACCGCTGAGGCACGGGCTGCCCTCGGGGGACTCTGCACCGCACCTGGGGGAGGGGGGGTTGTCCACGCCCGCCAGCCCCGCCACAGAAACCCCAGTGTTATCCTAGGGAATGTCAGTGTTTGGCGACCAACACAGAGAAGTCTGTAACCTCCTGTACCTCCATCCGCCATCTAGTAGCAGCACACTTGTGCACACGCAGGCCTCTGCCCTCCCGGTGCCCACCCTCAGGCCACGGCTGCTGGACTCACCTCAGTCAGCAGGGAGGCTGCTGCGCGACTGAGCCACTCCGGCAGCTGGAGCTGGGTGTGGGGCTGGATTCCTGAGGGGTGGCTCTGGGACAGGGCCTGGGAAGACACAGGGAGGGACCCCTGAGGAGGCAACTCCAGGACAGCCTGCACACTCCAGTGGCAGCCAGGATTTTACTTTTCTGGTGTCACATTCCCCGGGGCGATGATGCCGAGGCCCGCCGCTGCCTGCTGCTTTGGCTCTCCGGTATGCCGGACCGAGCTAGGGGCCTGCCAGCCCTTCTCTGGGCTCGCACAACAACCCTCAGAGTAAATACAAGCATCTGCATTGTAAAGACAAGAAGCCTGCTGAGAGAGGTAAAGGGACTGATGCCGCTATCAGGGTTTGAACCCAGGTCCCTCTGGCTCCAAGCTTGCCGGCAGCATTGCTCTGGGATCGCAAGCAGGGGCAGGCACTTCAGGAAGAGTATTGGAACTTGTCTCCTTATAGGAAAAAAAAAAACCTCCATGGGCTACTCATTTGGCAGCAGGCCATGTCACGCTACCGCCAGGGCCAGACCAGGGCTGTGGGCAGGACCTCTCTGCACTCCAGAAGGGTGCAGCTTCGGGAAACAGGGAGGTCTGCCTGGAGGTCAGGATGAGCCGCAAGAAGCCGCCAGGAGAAAGGTCAGAAGCCCCAGGCTAGCGAGGTGGTGGGGGACTGAGAGGAGAGAGCCCTCGGCAGCCAGGGCTCTCCAAGGCCCTGGGCTAGCGGACAAAAGCAGGAGGGAGCCATGGAGGACTGGTGAGACCTGGCCTTCAGGTCACACTGTGCCCCCTCCGGCCATTTCCTGCTGAAATGCAGCATGGCCTTCCCCTCGCTGTCTGACCTAACCAGTGCCAGGTGCAGCGCTGAGCTCATCGCGGCCGGACAGAGCGCAGGGGCCGCCATCCTCAGCAAGGGTGTCCGCTGGGGAAACTCAGCTCTTGGCTGATCCAGGCTGGACAGGACAGCTGCTGGCCTGGACCAGGGAAGCCCTCTCTCCTGCTCTCCAGCCAGAGTCTGGGGGTTACAGCCCAGAAGGCTGTGGGAATGGGAAGCGAGCAGCGGGGAGAGAAGGCCGAGGGGATGATCCAGCCGCCTTTCGGGGAAGAAGGGCTGTGTCCAGTTCCGCCCCCAGAAACCTTCCCTGATCCTCTCAACTCGGCTCTCATCCACTTACGCTGACGCTGACTGTCTCGCTAGCTATAGCTGCTAGTACGGCGGGGACACCCAGTGCGTTCACGGCCTGGGTGGCAGTGGCTCCCTGTGTCTCTAGTGGCCTGTGGGGGTCAGCTGGGGAGGGGGCAGCCGTGCCGGCAGGACATGTAGCCCCATGGCCAGGTTTTAGAGAACCAGGCAGCCTCAGCCCTGACACCAACTGGTTGTTGGCTGGTGGTTGGACTGACAAGCCCAGGCCACCCTGCACTCAGTGACACCCACCAGGGCCCCATGCCCTGCCCGGCTACTCACCGTTCCAGTCAACAATTCATACAGCAGGGACCCGAAGCTCCACCAGTCACAGGCGTCAGTTAGCTCCGAAATCCCACCCACCTCTGGGGGAGCAAGAACACAAATGTCCCAACCGTAGCCGAGAGGACAGGTCTCCCCTCTACTCACTGCACCCAGACGCAGCCCATCCCCTCTGCCATCCTCAGCCCCACGCCCAGCTCACCCCACACAGAGGCCCCGAGGCCTAGGGCCCTGGCCGGCCCGCCCTCCTTGCCTGGGGCACTGTAGAGGTTGTCCAAAGCCTCCCTGCAGCACTGGGGCTCCACCTCAGACCACTGGCCAAAGTACGTGAGCCGGATGTGACCTTCTCATCCAGTGTGCACAGCGGGGGATTGAGCGGGGACAAAAATTGCGGCTGGTCATTGTTGAGCAGCTGGCATTGGGGAGGGGACTCCAGGACCGCCCCCCCGCCCCCCCCGCTGGCACAAGGCAGGGGCCACGGGCCTCCCTAAGCACAGCCTCACTAGGGGCACGGAGCCCTGCGGCCCAAAGACACCTGGGTATTTGGAGGAGCTGCTGCCCTGGACTCATGGGGACAAGTGGGCTTGTATCCCACTCAGACTGGGTGTCTGGGCAGAGTCCTGTGTGAAAGGCTGGGGGGAGGAGGGGAAGGAGCAGATAACCTCTGCCATGCCCTTGACTTTGGGGAGCTCTCCCTCCCTGTCTTGCGGCTTTGGGGCCCCCACCTGAGGGGTGGGATAGGAGAGGGCAGCCTGCTCCCCTCCGCCCAGGCCTGGGTACCTACCTGCCTGGTCCAGGAGCAGGTTCCGGGGATTGAGGTCCCGGCACAGCACCCCCTGCTCGTGCAGCGCCTCCAGTGCCACCAGCATCTCAGCCGCCCACTGCTTGACCTGCTCTTCCCTCACACTCCAGGCGCCCCTGCCGGGCCCCAGGCTGGCCTTGTCCACTGAGGGGCGACTCTGGCCTCTCCCGCGGCCACAGCCCCCCAGCACCCGGCCAGCCCCCTCACGAACCCAAGGGAGCCCCCAAGGGGACCCCATGTCTGAGTTCTGGCCAGGTCCTCGCCGGGACTGGGAGTGCAGGCGGCCGCTGGGGGCCTTCAGAAGGTCCAAGGAGCAGGAGGTGCTAGTCCTGGCTGAGGGTTCCCCTTCAGCCCCTCTCCGGGCTGTGATGGATGGGGCCTCCCTGCCTGGGGGAAGGCTCTCACAAGTCCAGGGAGGCCCCAGGGGGACTCCGTCCTGCAGACGGCTGTGGCCCGGGGGCAGCAACGTTGGGGTCCGGAGGCCGAGGTGGGGGTTGAGCTGAGCCTTCATCCTCTCCAGGCCGGAGTCGGACCTGAGCCCAGGCTTGTGGGGGCGTGCCTGGGAGAGCAGGTGGGACCAGAGCGTGCCTCCTGGGCCGTGCAGAGGGTGAGGCAGGCATGGGGACAGGGGAGAAGAAGAGCGTGGACACCAGGCCCCGGTCCCACTGCGGCAGCCCCTCTGCCTTCCGGGCCCTCACCTCCGCTCCCTCCTCCCTGGGCCTTAATCAAGGATGCTTCTCCTTTCCTCTCACTCACTCAGAGAGGGCCCAGCCTCCCGACCTGGCACAAAACAGGCACTTACCCCCCAAGGAGATGGAAAGTATCATTAACGCCCTTGGTTTGGGTATGGTTTTACCAGTGTGCAATATATTTTATCGATGTTTTTTAAAAAATGTTAAGGGAGAACAGTATAACGAAATTTAAGTAAAAGAAAAGAAGGCCAGGCCTGGACCTGTGATGAGTATGAGTCATGACCAAGGATGTACTTCGTCAAAAAAAACTCCTCACCATAATAGGTGATCAATAAATATCCTGTCCTTAGTTTCACAGCCTCCATCCCACAGGGCCACTCTGAGGGATGGGCACAGACTGGGAAAATGAAAAGAGCCAAGACTGGAGGAAATGGTGACAAAGGGGACCTCTGCATAAAGGCCCTCTCACCAGCCCAGGGCGCGAGCAGCCTCCCGGGGACGCCCCCTGCCCCCTCGGCACCACATGGAGGCCCGCAACAGCCTACCCTGCCATCACCCTCCAGCACGGCTGGGTCCCCTGCTCTGTCCTCCACATCTGGTGCAAGTCACCCCCCTCCCTAGGTGTTGGCATTTTAAGGGGCGAAAGAGGACAACAGCCCAAAGGCCCCCTCACCTTGCACATGCTCCAGGTGCAGGAAGATGGAGTCCTCGCTCACGAAGTACCGCAGCAGCTTGGTCATGTAGGGGACGCCGTGTGGGATGATGGTCAGCCGCTCCCGGCTTGCCAGGTGACACCGGGACAGGCTCTGAGGAGGGGGCAGGGCAGAGGTGGCTCCATTAAGGGAAGACAGAGCCCCAGCTTCAGGGGCAACCGTATGAGCGGTGGGAGCCCCCCCTGAGGAGCCACTGCCTCCCCCCAGTCGCCGCCCTGGCCCTCACCTCTGTCTCCACCACGGCACCCAGGTCCTCCACATCCCAGGCCGAGGAGGCAGGGTAAGCGTGGGTGTGTCTGGGAGGCCGGGCACATGCTCAGGGGCAAAACAAGTGGCTTTTGGGTTTGGAGGGACCATGGGCTTTAGATACAGGTTCTGGGTAGGGGGTTCCCCAAAGGGTAGGAGTTCCCCAGGGCTCTGAGAAAGTCCCAAGGGGAACGCAGAATGGCAGAGGGCTGGGCGGCACCTGCCTTCACTACGAAGGTCCCTCCGGTCGCTGGGTCCTGGACCAGCTGCACCTGTCAAGGTCCAGGAGGCACTGGTCAAGGCACACGCTGCTTTCCGGGGCTCCGGGGCCCTAGCCCCAGCCCGTTTCCTCCACGGAGGCCAACTCACCCCAGGGGCAGGGCAGGAAGGGCAGGCCCTGAAACTGACATCGACCCTGTTCTGCTCGTCCACCCCTCTTAAACCTGCAGGTCTAAGCTCATGGGCCACCTCCTCCAGGAAGCCTTCCCAGCCCTCAGGTTGGGCTGGGGTCCTTCATTTGTCTCCAGGGCTGTCTAGGCTCTCCTTAGGGGAACCTTATCCCACTGTGACTAATTGCCTGTCCCCGCACTGCACTGGGAGCTCCAGGAGGGCCGGAACCGCCGTCGAGCTCTATTTCCAAAGCACCGCACAGCACAGGAACGTCACACACACACACACACACACACACACACACACACACGGTGAGTGGTCTGCCCTACTGGGTCTCAGGGTGTCACACATGGAAACGACCTCAGAGCTTGTTCCCTGCTCTGATCTTTCATTTTACAGGTGAGGACGCCGAGGCTGGGAGAGTGTGGCCCCAAGCCAGCCCCGGGCTGGCCATACCCAGAGTGCCGGGCTCGGAGGGCTGCCACAGGTCTCTCCCCTGCCACCCCTCCTTCTTTTGAGCAGCCCTTCCCAGGAGGCTGTCCTTGGAGAGCAGCCGCTCTCTCTGCTGCTGGTTTTGGTCAGAGGCAGGGGTCTGCCAATCGCGGGGGGAGCGGGGGAGCCTTTATGAAGCTGGGCCCTTGACTCATCTTGAGGAAGGCTCCAGCCGCAGGAGAGGGCACGCTGAGCACATCAAGGCAGGAAAGTGGAAAACTCGGCCCAGATGTGGGGTGTGCGGGGTGAGGGCGGTGGGGCGGGGAGCACCACTTGGCAAATGCCTGCCCTGCAAACAATCCCTGTGGTGGTGGGTAGGGACCTAGGCCAGGCCTACCACGTGGGCAGGGCGGGGACAGGAGCAAACCACTAAAGCAGGCAGCACCCCTTCTACTCCCTGCTGCTTCAAGGGAGTATGAGCCAGCATTTCCAGACCTCTTGATTTTTCAGGAGAAAAATCGATGAAGCCTGCAGCCCAGGGTCGGGAGGGGGGTTGGACCTTGGGCGAGTGAAGTGATTTTTCTCATCTACCAAAGAGTAATGACCAATGCCCCACCCCCATCACCAGTTTGCTGAGGCCATAAATGGGAGAGCCCTTTGTGAATGTAAAGGCCTCGAGTGCCAGTTATCACATTTGCCAAGACATGCGGTCTGCGATGGAGGTCCCCTGCCGGGAGGTCATCAGGAGGACTCTGTTAAAGCAGACAGTGCAAGGAGAGCAGCGGCCCGTCCCTGACACAGCGCGTGCCCTCGCTAATCTGTAGTGATGATGGTGGCGGTGATGATGACAAAAACTCACACTGGCTAGAGGGCCCTTGATCTGTGCTAAATGCTTTATATAGATTATTATTGTAGATTTTAGTCCCACCTACTAGGTGAGTATTATTGGGGACCCACTTCACCGATGAAGAAATTGAAGTTCAGAGAACTTATGTTGCCTATGGTCGGTCCCACTCCTAAAAAGCGGTACAGCCGGGGTTTGAATGCAGGCAGACTGATCCAGTGCGTGCCTTCCCCTCTGGGCCTCAGTGGCCCATCGTCAGCGCACTGAAGGCAGAGGACCAGGTGGGGAGGGGAGGGAGGGGGCGGCCCTTCCTGCAGCAGGAGTGAGGGGTTCCTTCCGGCCACCAGGGGTCTCTCCTCCAACAGCCAGAGACAAGCCAGCCAGGCCCCAGCTCCTTCCCCAAATCCGGACGATGCTTGGAAAAGAAAACTCTGGGGTCCTTTAGGAGAACCGAGTTTCCCACGAGTCCTGACACCCGCATAATTCCCCACTGTCCCTTGCCAAATGGGATCCCCTATCACTTCACCCTGGGCAAGGCCCTGTTATTGAGAGTCCAAAACTGGCAGGGAAGATTGGGGAAGTGAGAAGTATCAGTTAATAACCAGTACATTGAAACAAGTGGGTTAACCTTTGCAGGTAGGTTAAAACTTATCTATCTAGAAAGAATTAAACCAAAACATTAGCAGTAATTATCTTGGAGTTAGGTAGGAGGGAGGGGAATTTATTTTTTTCTGTTTTACATTTCTTCCTCTTTCAAGATATCTGAAAAGGGCAGGCATTTTCCCAAGCAAACAAAAAAAATCCCCTTCCTTTTTTGCTCGTTGCTATGGGGGACAGAGCACGAGCTAGCCACGTGATCTCTATGAACCTCGCTTTCATTTGCTGTAAGACAATTATTAAAATTCAGCACTGCCCAACAGCACTTTTTGAAACCATGAAGGAAAAATATATCTGCGCCGTCCAATATGGAAGCCAGTAGCTATGTGTGGCTGTCAAGCCCTTGAAATGTGGCTGGTGCAGCTGAGAAACATAATGCTTAATTTTAATTAATTTTCAGTAAAATAGTCATATGTGGCTAGCAACTACCATATTGGACTACACAGTGTAATGCTTTTCTCCTTGGGATCACTGAAGAGGTTTAATGCAACAGCTTTGCAAACAAGAATGTGCCTTACGAAAGTTAGGTGAGTACTGCTCTTAGGATGGCAGAAGACAGTTCTGGGTGTCGGCTCTCAGCTTTTTAAAAAAGAAAAAAAAATTTTTTTAAAGGACCCACTGAGCTCTTGGGAGGTGAGGATAATTAAAGCTTTGGTGAAACACATTAAACCTTTCTTTAAAAATGCCCAAAGTATCAAAATCCTACGAGGTATCTCTCACAGAGCAAACAAGCCCCAAAGTTTCTGGTTTGCAAAATCCAAGGTCCACAAGGGCTGGGCCCGTGAGCCAGGCGGGCAGGGCGGGCACAGGAGCAAACTAGAGGGCTGGTGCCCCGGTTAAGCAGGCAGCCCTGCCTCAGCTCCCTGCTGCTTCAAGGGAATGCTGGCCAGCATTTCCAGCCCTCTCGATTTTTCGGAAGGACCAGGATATCTGGACTTCTGTGTGAAACCTGCCAACTTTTGAATGTTGGTAATTAAAAACAACAAAGCAACAACACTTGTGTCTGAGCCAAAAAAACCAAGAAGTGACTTGGAGGACCCTTTTCTTCCCCATCCTTGCCTCAGAGTCTGGTTCCCAGACAAGGCCTCCAGGCCCCCACGCTCCCTGAGAGCAGACCCCTGGGTATCTGGCCAGCTGCCCACCTAGTCCCTGACCCGCTACCTGCCACCCCCTATGCCTGCCAGTACCTCTTCGGCCTCTAGAGACCCTCTCCCGGTCCAGTTACCCCTGACAATGGCGCATCTCAGGCGTTCCTGAGCCAGCCTCTGTCCCTCCCTGATCTGCGCTACCTCTGGCTGGCACTGGCCTCCCGCCCGGATCTGCCTGGGCAGAGCTGTGGAATGGGACACTGTGACCGCACATCTAGGCCTAGCTGCTGGGACCTGGGCCCAGTATCCCTAACACCTCTCCTAATTTGGGGAAAGTGGTGTTCATTGGTTGGGAATGACGCAGAAAAAGGAAGCAGGATCTCAGGAGGGAGGTGGAGTAGGTAAATTGAATGCCCAAGAAAGGGTGAAAAAGGATAGGCAGGTTTCAAGACAGAATGGCTGCTTTCCATTTGCACAGGACTCAGAATACTGGATTCTGAAAACGCTTTGCATATGCATGTCCTGGGACTGTACAAACTAGGGGACTTCTGTCATAGGCCCCCTCTTGGAAATTCAAGGTGTACTTCTGCATCCTAAAAGCTCCAAAAATTCCTATAATTTAAAAAAACAACACCAACCAAGTAATGTTACTTTAACTCAATATTTCCCAAACATTTCACCTGGAACGCCTCTCGCCACAACACCCTCCCCCTTCAGTGGGATCCCATGTGGGGAAACGGTGGTGGCAGTCACCTCCCCAGCCTGTCCCAGCCACATGGCCTAGTCAGTGAGAAGGCAGGGCTGGCCGCGCACATGGAAGCTGGCCGGGCCTTGCTGACAGACTGGGGCCCATTCCAGGAACCCGGGAGCAGCAGCTGGAGCAAGGCTGGGGGATGGGAAGCCTGCGAGCCTCCCGATGGGCGTTTGTTACCAGCATTTAGAGCCATCAAACGTTTTAGTGTGTGCCAAGCCTTTCCCCCCAAATTATTTCATTTTAGTTCCCACATCCCCCGCGGGGGGAGGACTCTCGCCCCACTGACAGGTGAGGGAAGGGGCACTCAGAGGGGCGAGAGGACCCGCCCTTGGCCTTGCTGTGCTCTGCCCAGTCAGCACTTCCTCCTCCGGCGCCCGGGGAAGCGCGCGCTGGCCTCCTTTTGCCTGTGGCCTCCAGCCCCATCAAATTCCCCACATCGGTGTTTGAGTTACAGATTCCTGGCTCAGAAGGCCTGGAGTGGGGCCCAGGCATCTGTATTGTTAGGAAGCTCCCCAGGTGGTTCTAATAAACAGCCCGCTTGAGAGAGAACTGCTTTAGGGAATACGCTGGTAGCCCTTGGTTAGGGCAGAGGACAACGGAATATGGGCTCTGTAGACCCAAAAGGGGCCGCAGAGTAAACCTGACAGGGGAAGCCGGTCTTGTGGGGCCTTCAAACTCAGAGACCTACAGTAGCCACACAGGAGGGCCTGAACGTAAAAATTCCTAACTAAAAGCAGGCCACGGCAGGCAGTCATATCCTAGGCCAGTAGCTCCTTTGACAAAGGTCAGTCTTTACCGTGAGCGAGCCTATTTACTGTCTTCTTGCATCAAAGATAACATACCTTTGAAATGCCAGAGTAATCTTTTCCAGACCCCTCAGCGCACAGCCTTGGACCAGAGCATGAGACCACGGAAGCCCTCCTTGCTCTCTTGGTCCCTGGATACCATCTCCCTGTGTTGTCCGTGTTGCTGAATCACTCTGTACCCTCTGACTTAAAACAAGTATGTGTCCCTGTTTTACTTTGTATCCAATCCCAGAGATTTCCCCGCTTTGCTTTCTCCTGCCTCCCTAATCCATCACCAGTGAATTTCACGTGACACCTTTATGTCCTCTCTCTTAATTTTGGCATATAAAATAGGTGGTAAAACTATCACTTTTCAGAGCATTTTCTCAATGCTTTGAGATTTTGCTTCCTGGCAACTGTCAGTGTGGCTCAAATAAACTCATAAAAATTCATACAGGTTTAGACGTTTCTTATATCGACAGCTCCAGTCTCATTTGACCCAACTGTTTGTCCTTCCGATTCCTCCACTCCGAGTGTCCCAGATACGGGCTGGGATGTCACTTCCTATCCTCCTGCCTGCCCTGAGCGAAGGGAAAGGGCCCCAGATGGGGTCAGGAGGAGGGTGGGGCCGGGAGAGAAAGGGCACAGCTGCGAAGGGCCTGGACAGACACGGGCCAGTTCGGACACTCTGCAGGGCTCTGGAGATGAGCATCGTCCCGCCATCGGGACTTCCTGGCTATGCTTGGCCGGGAGACTCTTGGCTGCAGCCCTCGGAGCAGAGGGAGTGCGGGCAGGGGCCTGTGGGAAGTGGGAGCGAGCCGGGAAGCATGCGCCGGCAGGACGCCCTGGGCACAGCCTCTCCTGTAGCATCTGTCTTGAATCTCTGAGGGAGCACTTTTCTGGGTCTGAGCTGGAGGGCTGTGGACAGGGGCTGCCTGCCTCTTGCATTTCTGGTTTCCTTTCCAGGACCCGACGTGCGTGCTGGGGCAGGGAGGGATGGGGAGCCCCTGGACACAGCTGCTCTCTTCCCCTGGACCCCCGACCCCTCCCCTGCCCCCCCCCCGAAGGACTGCAGGTAGCTGCTCTCTCTGCGCACACGTCACCCCCAACCGCACCCTCCATCTCCTCCCACACTGTGGGCTCTGCTTACTCACCTTCTCGATGACCCCGATCACCCTGCAGCCCCTCAGCTGCTCCAGGGCAGAGCTCAGAGTGCGGATGGGCCGGAGCCTCAGGCTGCTGAAACCCTGCGGAGGTGGGGGACAAGCCACGCAGCCTCAGTGCCCAGCCCTCCTCAGCCACTGCTTCTCACTGGGCAGGGGCAGGGGCAGGGGCAGGGGCAGCTGGGGAGCAGGCAGGAATGGGGCGCAGTCCAACCTCATCTCACAGGGACAGGCTGAGCGGAGAAGCTAGTCCTGCCCGGGGCGGGGGTGGGGGGGTGGGGCACACTGGTCCACGCCGGCCACACTACCCTCTTTTACTTAGCCCCGACCTGGCCCTTCGCCAAGGCTCAGGGAGCTCCTAAGGCTTCAGAAACCACCTCGCGAAGGTTCCTTCTATAAGAGGCAGATGTTCCCAGAGGAGGGGAAATAACCTGGGAACACGTGGATTCCAGGGAACATGCCTTGAAGACCAAGGGATGGGGCCCAGGCACCCGCTTTACAATACGCGGTGAGCCCAGGAGGGGTGCGCGTGCATGTCTGTGCGGCCTGTGGGTGTGAGAAGCACACATGTATTTTCAAACCCCTCCGAGTGCCCTCTGGGTTAGGGAAAGCCCTATGGGGAGAGCATTTGTGCACATAATGGACACACGTGTGTATGTGCACACGGGGTATTTGTGTCTGCTCCAAATACTCACTGAGGCCTGTTCAAACACAGATCTGGGGGCCCTGGAGTTTGCACACATGCGAGCTTGTGTATGAGCTGTGCGTGGGGAGATATGAGTGTGTACTCTGTGAGTGGGTGAGACTGGACTGCAGATGATTCACTAAGTGTTTGAAAATGAATGAACTATGGAGGTTGTGGGAGAGAGAGGAAGCCAAAAGGAGGAGGGTCAGCCCTGGCCCCTGCTGGCCCTGCCCCACAGCCCAGAATGTGAGGACTTAGCCCGCTGGCCTGTTGAGGTGGGTGGGGGGCTCAGCTCCCTCCCCCCAGAGCCCTCTGGGAGGGGCCACCTCACCGCGCCAGGGCTGGCTCCGCTGCCCAGGGTCCTCTGCAGGTGGCAGTTGAAGATCTCCTCTGCCCGCCGCAGGTACTTGGTAATTTTCAGCTTTACAGCCTCACGTCGCTCCTTGTTGGGGTCAACTGTGGAGGGAAGGGGGTCACCAGGCCCCACCCCCACTCTGGCCTTGCAGGGCTGGGGTTCCAGCCGCCACTGCCTGCCCTCTGCCCTCCGCAGGACAGAGTGCCTATTTCCGAGGCAGCGAGCAGATTCTGACCCCACATCTGCTCCCGAGCCCCTCCTCTGGGTGAAGACCAGTGGGCTGGGAGGGAGGAAGATGACAGGGGAGGCTGGGAGCTGCGGTCTGCTCGCCAACAGCACTTTGCAGGTGGGACGCACCACCTCGCTGGTAGTCATCACGCCCTGGGAAGGGACAGAGTAGGGACTTCCATGTCCAATTTCAGAGGAGGAGACAGAAGCTGATCTCTGATGCTCAGAGTGGGCACCAGGACTGGAAGACAAAGGAACTCTTGAGACAGGCCTGAGGGGTCTGTCAGGCTCAGGCATTGAGGGCAGGAAGCATGAGCCGGACTCGACTCCTCCCCCAAGCCTGGCCACCTCAGGGCTAGCCTCTCCCCAGGGCAGCAAATGCCTTCCTTTCCCCTGAATGGGCCTCTCCTCTCCCCTCCAGGCCTTTGCTGCTCTCCCTGGAGCACTGCCCGTCCTTTCAGCTGGACAGTGTGCCTTGTTCTTCAGTGTTCAGATTAGAGGTTGGACTTCCAGAAAATCCCCTAGGCCGGCGTGGCCTGGACTCAGTTTCCCTCCCTTCACTTCCTCCTCATTGCTCGTCATACCTAGGCTGTAACTGTCCATCATTAACTCATCAGTCTCCTCCCCATTAAAGGCAAACCTCCGGAGGACAGAGCCCCAGGCCAGCCCCGGGGCCAGGCCAGTGGAGTGGGTTTAGCACACCGCCTCTGGAGCCCAGCTTTGCCACTTGATAGCTTGGGAGACTTAAGCAAGCTATGTAACTGCCCTGTGCCTCAGTTTCCTTATCTGGAAAATAGGAATAAAAACAGTTCTCACATACTTGGGACAATATGAAACAACACATATACTATCTTCTATTACTGTGAGGCTCAAATGAGTTAATACAGGTAGAGCCCTTAAGCCAGTGCCTGGCGTATAGGAACAGCTCAGGAAACACTAGCTATTAGTATTGTCTCTCATGGAGGCTCTGTAGGCCCTTCACCCAGCACTGATGGACAGAGGAAGGGACGAGCTCCAAGGTGGCCCCTCCTCAATGGCCCTGTCCCTGCTCAGCCCAGCCCAGCCCAGACCTTACCGTGCATGCCTCGTAGCAGAACGTCCACGCCATTCTGGTAGTGGTTGAAGGCTGCCTCGTAGTCCTCGCTGACATCCCGTTCCAGGGCCAGCCGGATCTGTGTGGCTGCATCCACCAGGTAGTCGTGCTTGGTCACATCAGGTGCTCCCGGAGCCACCCGGTTGCGAATCTGCTCCAGGTACACGCGGGCCTGGGACTGTGCTCGTGAGCAGGGCTCCAGCTCCTGTCCCGGGCCAGGCGGGCACTCGCAGGCCACCAGGCTCATGGCTGCTGCCCTGCAGTTGCGACCTGGGAATGAACAGATGCATTAGCGAGGACCCACCTGGGAACAATACCCCATTTGCACCCTGGTTTCCTCCACTCAATATTCAGAGACTAACCCTCACCTCCAAGGGCTGGAGGATCAGAGCTAACATGGATGAAGTTCTTTCACGAAGACAGCTCTTTCCTAAGTGGTGGTAATAGAATAACAACATGCTTGGGGCTCTTCCCTTCTATTCAAATTCAATTCAACGAGTATTTCTTGAGTACTTACTATGTGTTGAGCACCGGAGAGAGCTGCAGATATTCGCAATCCAGAGATGCCTTCATGAGGCACAGAGCAAATCAGCATCTAGCACACCGTGAACATGCGGTGGCCACACACTCTGGGGCCGAGGCAGGAGCCCTGGGCTCCAGGGCCGCTCCTCACACTGCTCCCTCCATCCTGCCTATTCTCCCCGCCCTGCACCTCCTGCAGGAACTTCACTCAATCCTTCACGATTTGGTTCCAAACTGGATGGATGGCTCGCCCCTGCCTTGTTTCCCTCAGCGCTGAGGTCAGTGTAGTCAGGAGCAAGGACTCCCACAGAGCCCAGCAGAGAGCTGGGCACAAGGCCAGGCCCTTCAAGCCTGTGGACAAATGAAAGGACCGAGTGACAGATTCTGCATGGAGTTGGAGGAAGGAGGGTAGGTGCACCGCAGCTCGGCAGAGGGTGGTTCTGTCCTTGGGGCTCGGTCTCTGAGGCCAGGCAGCCACGTGGCCTCCAAAGACCTAGAGCTGTGTGTGACTCAGGTGGCCAAAGGGACCCAGAAGTGGCTGCTGCAGGCGAAAGGGCTCAGAGAGAAGCCAGCAGATCGGCCCGTGCCCCCTCACTGCACGGGCACCTTCGCTCTCTCAAGCCCCACGGGGAAGTGGCAGGGCCGAACTTCCACCCCCGGGCCACATCTGCCCCTGCAGAGGACGGGAAGAGAGAACAGGATGGGAGTGGGGCGGGAAGGGAAACCAACATCCCGGGGTCAGCGGGGAGCTGTCCCCTGGCCAGGATGGGGCTGGAGGTGGAGGGAGGAATTTAGTCCAGCCACACCACCGGGGGACATGCAGCCCCGAGGCTTGTCTTGGGGGTAGCAAGGCTGATGGGCTGGGCTGCTCAAGTCAGGCCCTGACTTCAGGGCCGGGTGCTTCAGACAGAGCTGCATGGCCGCACCTGGACACGGAAAGCGGCGCGTCCAGCCCGTCAGTCCCGGAATGCTACGGGCACCGCCCCGCGGGGGGCAGGCCGAGGAGGTGGGCTAGGGGACAGAGGGGAGGGAGCATCGTCGCCTGGGGCGGGGATGGTGAGGAGCAGGGCAAACACCGTACCTGCCCGAACCAGAGCGCCGTCGGTCGGCGAGGCCAAGGTGCCACCTCTCACTCTTCCCCTCCGCGGGGCACCGTGCGGCCGAGGCCCTCGGCTCTGCGCCCTCCAGCCAGGTGCAGGCTTCTGGCCCGGTGCAGCCGGCCATTGGCTGCAGATGAGCTCATCCTCTGTTAGAATAAACCACCAATCAGCGCCCAGCTCGGCTTCTGCCGGCCCTTAAAGTCGCAGCGGCTGCGGCGCAGAGCCCTGGGGAAGGGGCCCGGACTGGGAGCGGCGGGGGTCTGGGCGCTTATCTACTTTGATCGCGGGAGTGTCCCAAGTCCGAGAAGAGCCTCTGGTGCACAATATTGTTCAATAAATATTTGCTGAATGAATGAATGAGCTCTGAATAATGAGAAGACACTAACCAAGAAAAGTATTTGGAGAGGGCAGTCCGAGGAGAATGTTGTGGGTAGAAAAGCGCGTGTAAGTGCTACAACCAATTAAGGGAGAAAAATAATATCTGCGCATCACAGGACATAAAATCATTTGATAAAGTGTAACACTCATACACGATACCGACAAACTCTTTACTTAGCAAAATCTAAACAAACCCAGCGCTGGCCTGGTGGCTCAGGGTTGGAGCATTGCCCTATACATCACAATGTTGCAGGTTCCATCCCCAGCGGGGGTTCCATCAGGGCAGCAACAGATGGATGTCTCTCAAATCAACAAACATATCCCTAGGTGAGAATTAAAAATAAAGAACAACACCTAAACAAACTCATGAATTTACTTCTTAACTTGATAAAGGGTTATGTAGTAGAAACTCGAAGTATACGTAATGTACCTTACTTCATACGGAATGGTGGAGCATTAGAAGCGTTCCCATGGTCCTGGTGTCCTTCTGGCATATGGTAGGATCACACTTCTCTACCAGCTTTTGAAGTTAGGCTTGGCCATGGAACTTGCTTTGAAATTCTAGTGGGCAGAACATGAATTAATTCAAGATAGAAGCTCCAAAAACCAGCCCATAATTCACTAGCCCCTTCCTTCTGCCATTGTTTTCATAGAAGCCCATGTCCACGGAGGCATGGAGCTTACATCTGTGTGAGTCACAACAATAAAGGACTGAGAAACAACAATAAAGGACTTGTCCCTACTCCATGGCTTGTCTTGGACATGAAGTGTAAGTAAGAAACAAACTTTCATTGTGTTAAGCCACTAGGTTTTGGGGTTGTCTGTTACTGCAACATACCTTGACCTATCTTGAAAGATACACCCCAGAAATGAATCAATATACTCTTCAACAATATACTAGCGGTTACAATTAATGCAATAAGAAATTAAAAGCAAACAAAAGGTTTAAAAATCGGAAGGGAAGAGGCCAAACTGCCATTATTTGTGATGATGTGATTGTCTACCTAGAAAACACAAAACGGTAATAGGTGAGTTTAGCAGTGTCTGTACACTAGATCAATATGTACACATCAAGAACTTTTCTATAGCCCTGATTTGTGTGACTCGGTGGGTTGAGCAATATCCCACAAACTGAAAGGTCGCTGGTTTGATTCCATGTCAGGCACATGCCTGGGTTGCAAGCCGAGTCCCTCGGTTGGGGGCCTGTAAGAGGCAACCAATTGATGTTTCTCTTACACATGGATGTTTCCCTCCCTCTCTTCCTCCATTCCTTCTCTTCTGTTTAAAAATAATAAAATCTTAAAAGAAAAAGAACTTTCCTATATATCAGCAATAAGAATTTGAAAATGTAATAAATTAAAAAATCCCACTCACCACAGTAACAAATAATATGACATATTTAGGAATAAAATAATTAGAAATACATGACCTTTGTGAATAAAATAATAAAATTGTATTGAAAGACACAAAAAAGACCCAAATTAATGGAGAGCTGTATTGTGTTCAACCATGGGATGATTACCATTGTAAAGATGTCAATTCTCCCCAAATTAATTTAAAACTTCAATGCAATGCCAATCGAAATACTACCAAAAAGACTCTTCATAGAACTTAGAAAAGAATGCTTCTAAAATTCATGTTTATTTATGTACTTAACAAAACTTTTGGAGGGCCTATTAGGGGTCTGACCCTTTTTGAGGTTTTGAGGATATGCTGATGAATAACACAAACAAAAAAAACCTTCATGGAGCTTTCATTCTAATGGAAAAAGCCAGTAATAAACACATAGACATATAGATACGTACTATCTCATGATTTTAACAGTATATGTGAATGTGCGACTATAGCCCTTTGAGAAAGAATGAGTGGGGCGGGTCAGAAGCTTGCCTTACCAGATCAAAAGAAGTATTAGAAAGCTGCAATTTTTAAAACAGGTGGCATCGGTGCACATAAATAGATGATAAGAATAGAAAAAAAGTCCAGAAGCAAACTTGTGCATGTAGGGGGATTTGACTTAGGATGAAGAAGGCATTTCAAACCAATGGATGAATTCTTCATGAGAGATGTTGAGAAAAATGGACATAACTTATGGGAAAAAAATTAATGCCTACTTCATACCATATACAAAAATAAATTCAACTTTACAATTATAAGTTAAAAAAGAGAGAACAACACAAATTTTTAGAGGAATATCACCGTTTAAAAAGTATAAATGGCATCGTGTTACAGGTAGCATTTGGAAACTGTTTTTACTCAACAATATGCTGAGTAAAGAATATCATCATGATCTTCAGATGCTTTTTTAATATTCCTGAAGGGGATGGATAGGTAAATCAGTACATTTTGGAGGGTGATTTTTCAAGATCTTTTAAAGTGAAAATACTAATAATTTATGATCTATCAATTTTACTTCTTGATATTTAATCCAGAAAATCACTTGTTTATTATTCCAGCATACCTTGAATATATAAAAATATTCATGGCAGTATTGCTGATAATATCAAAAATTGGAAAGGATGTCAAATTTAATATCTATGGAATATCAATGTGGAAATGAATTAATAAAATGTGGTATATTCATATAGCAAATTATTATTATTTAACATTTTAAAAGAATGAACCAGAACTAAACCTATGTGTATGAACATGCAGGATCTCAAAAACATATTGTTGAGTAAACACAGCCAGTTCCCAAATGCTACCTACAATATGATGCCATTTATATTTTTTAAATACATAAAACAATACTGTATATTATCTATATATTATATCATATTAGGATTCTGCAGGGAAACAGAACCAATAACATAGCTGAATAGACAGACAGATAGATTTCTTATATAAAAAATAGGCTCTCCCTGCCCAGTGTGGCTCTGTTGCTTGGGCATTGTCCTGCAGAATGAAAGGCTGCCAGTTCAAATTCCCAGCCAGGGCACCTCTGTGGGTCGTGGACCAGTCCCTGGTCAGGGTGTGTGCGAGAAGCAACCGATTGAGGTTTCTCTCACACATCAGCATTTCTCTCCCTCTCTCTCTCCATCCCTTCCCCTCTCTCTAAAAATAAATAAATAAAATCTTTAAAGAAAATAAAAGAAACAGGCTTACGAAATTATGCAGGCTGAGAAGACTCAATTTTGCAAGCTCTCACAAGCTGAAAAAATAGCTTTTTGGCTGCCTAGGAAAGCCTAGGCATGGCTCCTAACCGCTTAACACGGAACGTCTGATGTAAAGTTTTCTTTTTTGGAAATCTTACAACTACACTATTAATTACTA